GAGAGAGCGAGCGGCTGTGTGGTGCTCAGTTGCCGACTGAGGTTAAACCACGACAACACTGTACCAGTAATAGCATCACAAAGAAACTACCAAGGAGCACAGGATCAGTCTCATAAATGACTAACCTAGAAGGCAGAGTTGCATTTATTCATATATTATTTATTTTTATATTACTACAGAACTTAGGAAAACCAACTAGAGACTAAACCCCATTGTCTAGGGTAAAATCAAAAATACTAAGTAAGAGTTCCTGCCCAAAAGAGTTTACAATCTAAATAGCATACGTGTGATAACAAAAGTATGTGACACTTTCCTCTGCAAAAAGCAGCATGTGATTAACTTCAAGAACACAGGTGATTTAAGTGAGATTTTGCATTGTAAGTGTTTTGCTTGCAAAGAGCCCGATTACATGGATGCATCCCTCCATTGAGCCATTTCATCTCACAAGGCCTACCTGAAATCTGCTGAGTGGCCCTGATCAAGTCAAATGCAGAGTCAGACAAAAGGAAATCTAGACTCATATCCTAGCTGCCTAATGAGGACAGAGAAGAAATTTTGACATATAAAGGTTCTATGGCAATCCAAACTGGCCAATACTTCTGCAGCACTCAAGTCTTCACTTACCTTTATGATTAGCCTGGAAGTTCCCAAGATACCACCTCTGTTCTGCTGAAAGCATGGAGCAGAAAGGCAAATGCAGTGCTTAGTACTTAGAAGCAACTGCTCAGGAAGTAGCAGGCATGATTATATGCCCTCCTTTGTCCTCTCTGTACCAAGCATTTCCTCTTGACCAAACAGCTCTCTATGCAACACATTACCTTTAATGGAAGCTCCTTAGAGATGTCCGTCTCCCTCCATTAACTGCAATAAGAGCACAGAAGAGTGTTTCTCAACCTCTCCTATTCACTGGACCACCTGACCCTTTGAAAGAAACATACAGCTCATTTTATATCCCACTGTTGCTTAAGGATAGGTGACAAGTAATAAGTCACGTGGAATTGGTAAAATGTTGAAACAAATGTTAATATTTTACAATAATTACAAAACTTGTAACTAAAAAATGTAGTTCAAAATGGTATCACCTGATTAAATCAGTCAGCACACAACTGACAACTGCCTGGGTGAGGAGTTCTGTTTTAGAGGTGAAATGTTTTCATGGACTGCCTGATGTTTTGTGGACTGCCAGCCATCTGTGCACCACAGGTTGAGTAACTTGGCTCTAAATCTCTCTGCTGGGACTAAGTAACCAATTTTAGGTAGTGTAATGCCTGACTTAGTAGCCTGAATTAGGCAGTTTGGCTGTTGCATTCTGCTGTCTATGCCACTGAGGACAGCACTGAGGATCTGAAAGGGAATGGGTCATCATTCAGAATATTTAAGCCTTTGGTTGTTCGACTGCTTCAGGTAGCATCTATTTAAGTCTGTAGTTTTGTTCTACCCCTCCCACACTCATCACAAGTCCATAAAACAAACCACAAACACAATGCCCAATTCCCTTGATCAGATCCCCTTTCATTAATTTATTGATTAAGGAGCCTGGAGGAAATATATTACCTGTTACCACAGGTTTTCTGTGGAATATTGGACACATCACTTGATGTCCCTGTGCCTCAGCGCCCTTACCAGTACAACGGCAGTAAAAATCATTCTGATGACACAATACTTACTAAATTAATGCTTCAAAGTACTTTAATACAGTGAAAGGGAAAGGGTTCCACAAAGGCAAAATACTGTATTAAGGCAGCTGCGAAGGCCAAGCCTCTTAGCTATATTCCACAACTTCTAGTTTGGTAAAACGTCCTTCTTTATGAAACCAGGACTAGTAGCATCTGCAATGTGCACGCAAGAAAACTTTCCCCATTGGGGCTAAGAGCATTTCCAGCACATCTGTGCTTGTGCAGGAAAATCTGGGTCACGGTTGACAAAGCAGCAGGCAGTGTTATCCCCTGCAGTGTGATCAGCACGGTCACATTTCACATGAAGGGCAAAGCAAATGTCGCACCTGCGCTGGATGCTCCTCTGTCAGTTACTGTCACCAACAGGTTCTGCCCCCTCAGCAGAGCCGTAAAGGCTGCAGCAGAGATGCACATGGCAGGCGCCAAGCTGAGCTGGGAGCCACAGAGACCACTTGCTCTTCATGCGAGGGAGAACAGCAGTGCAAGACTGCGAGATCTGTTTCAGAGGGATTGCACCACCTTATTGTATAGGTAAGGTTTCTTAGCTAATTCTGCGTGTATGGCAGGTGGTCTGCCCTTCCCACTTCCCAGCTTCAGAGCATGTAAAATAATCTACTGCAAACTCATCCCATGGCCTTAGCCGAGAGCTCAAGCCACACTGGGTCCATTGCTGTATTTTCACATAATTTCGCATCACTGGTGTTGAGGCCTGTACACAGCAATAAATACCAGAATCCTTCACATCACCTGCCAGCACCAAGTAAATAATGCAGACTGTGAAGAAGGACCTTCACATATGTGGTGTATATCAACTGAGAGGCTACTGCTGACATATCAATAACCAAAAGCATGGGGCTGTGCTATGCCTTCATGAGAACAGCTCTCGCCCACTTGAACAGATCCTGTCTCTGCCTGCCTCTGGTAAAGAGGATATGAGTTATCCTTTTCTACCATCATATAATCTATTACATGACTTTTTTTTTTTCCCCCCATTCATAAATCTCTTCAGGCTTCCCATACACATGAAAAACAGGAGGAGGAAGGATCTGCTAAGTTTCTCTAAAATGGAAATTCATTACTGATGTAAGCAGTGTCTTTTGATTAAATCAACGCCTGACTCAGTAGCACTATGGATTTATACCAGCTGAGGATGGGGGTGGCCGATCTCACCTACTCTTGCTAAAATGGCATCACAGTAACCAAGAAAGAGAAAGCGAAGAAATTGTGACAAGGAAGGAAATTGCACTCATCAGTTTAAAGAATCCTTTGGTTCCTCTTTGGTTTTGTTCAGACCTACCCACTTCCAGTAACAGCCGGAAGAAAGGATGCCTCTGATAAATCCCCAAATCCCTATTACTTCCACACGGGGCCAGGAATTCCCAGTGAACATATCTGAGGCTGCCACCCTATTTCACATCAAACCGTAAGAGATCAGACAGGCCATTACTGATATTTTGATTTAAAGAAAACAAATACAGGCAAAAAAGCATAATTACGGCTGTGCTTTTTCACCATGAAGAACATATTTAACCATTTTATAATAATTTGTAATGCTCCTCACAGCAGGAATTCAAATGCCTAAGTCACACAGTATCATGTCAACTATTGATGACCTGTCTGATCCAGCCTCATTTCTACTGACATCTCCTTCCTCTGCCACGTGTTCCAGATTGAAAGGCTTTAAACAGGCAGCGTGATGTGCCGAACTTTCAGAATTGGAGCCAAAACCTGTATTTCTGTTCTGCATGATCCCAAGCACAAAAAGCAAGTTCCATGTTTCTGAGAAAAGAATAGGATTTCCATGCAAATACAATAGGCTGCATTTATATATACCACTTTTAACTTCAAAATGCTTTATAGCCAAAAGGTATAGCAGACCAGCAACCACCTAGGATTGCCAGTCCTGTGCACTGTAGCTGAACTGGACTGCAATAACAAAGTGTTGTGGTTTAACCCGGCAGGCAACTAAACACCACACAGCAGTTCACTCACTCCCCACCCCCCCGCAGTGGGATGGGGGAGAGAATCGGAAAAAAAAATAGTAAAATTCATGGGTTGAGATAAAGACAGTTTAATAGGACGGAAAAGGAAGGGAAAATAAGAATAATAATGATAAAAGAATATACAAAATAAGTGATGCACAATGCAATTGCTCACCACCTGCCAACCGATGCCAGC